AAAATTTCAATTCTTAACAGTATCATGCAGTTGTCACTTGTCATTGATGAGCTGTGAATTAAATGCAGTCTCTGCTAGACTGCTGCTAAGCCAGCCTGCCACTGCCAGGCAGGCATGGAATATATCTACTTGGCGAGCCGCGACTGAATTTTTTGAGCCGTGATTTTATGGATTTGCCAGCCGTGATTCCATTTCTACAAGCCGTGATTCTATTTCACCGAGCCGCACAGTGGCAAAGCAGAGAGTTTTTTAGACTCTTCCTCAAGTTCATTTTTGAGTCCTATAAGTCATAGTGGCAAAGCAGAGAGTTTTTTAGACTCTCCCACAAGTTCATTTTTGAGTCCTAGAAGTTGACCAGTAAAGTATCCTGGATACATCATTATCATTCTTAAGAAATTGGTTTAAATCTTGAGTAAATGAGGAAATTAAAAATGAACTGATTCTAAAAAAGCTCTGGTTTGCCACTATGCTATAAGTAGACCAGTAAAGTATCTTGGATACCAGAATCATAGTGGCAAAGCAGAGAGTTTTTTAGACTCTCCCTCAAGTTCATTTTTGAGTCCTATAGGTAGACCAGTAAAGTATCCTGGATACTAGTATTATCATGCTTAGGAAATTGGTTTAAATCTTGAGTAAATAAGGAAATTAAAAATGAACTGATTCTAAAAAAGCTCTGGTTTGCCACTATGACCAGAATTATCATGTATAATAAATCTGTTAAAATCTTGAGTAAATGAGGAAATTAAAAATGAACTGATTCTAAAAAATCACTGGTTTGCCACTATGCCGAGCCGTGAGTTCTAGTTCTATATCTCGGCCATGAAAAGCCATTTACGAGGTGCAAATTTATTTACAAAGTCCATGCACGTGTTACCCCAAATCTCTAATTTTACCCTTAAAGCGTCAAATGGCAACAATAAAATTTGTGTCTACTGTAAGTTCAGCACACGTTAATGCAGTCTGACCGGCGACCGCTTTGACATGACCGCAACTATGCGCGATCTTCAACAAAACGTTTCGTTTATTTGTTTACATTACAATGTTTATGTTTTTTCTGCAAGATATTTTTGGCCGGAACGGTAAAGCAATGCGGATTGCGGAAGTTGAAAATTTTATGAAATGACATGTCTGCGAAGTGCAAACCGCGATTTTTTAATCAAACAAAAATTTATGACATTCGAGCCGCGAGATTTCATACCTACTGAAATTATATGATATTTGAGCCACGATATTTCAGACAAAAATAGGACTTTTCCAGACTGGCTGCCAGGCCTCCATGCCTGCCTGCCAGGGTGCAGAGGGTGCAACGTGCAAGCAGCCTTTCCACAATATGGTTTTTAGCCCAAAGCCAAAGCGTTGCCAGCCATTTTCAAGAACTGTCGCCATGTAATTTTTAATAAGAAAGTGATGCAAGCAACTTTAACTTTCTTACTCTCCATGCACGGCAACACTTAGCCTGGGGTCTCTTGTAAAATTGAGACCGGGGAACCACAACAACACTTAGCCTACACACATTTTGCAACTGGTTGCTGGACAAGCTTCACTGCATTCTGATCCATCTGGCATACCGGAAACCTTGCAGTCTTTCAGATTTACAGTAATTTCTAAAATGTCATAATTTCAATCCAAATGTGTTGGCAATATCTTCAGAAGGCGTAGATTTTGCTGCTGATGCATCACCAAATATCTTTTGATATTCACCCAATGTCTGCACCCTGTCTGAAGAGCAGAATTGCAATTTTCTTGCTTGTTTCTAAAATTTCGCGGCTCCAATGTGACCAATTTTTAATTCATTTGAAATCTTGCGCCCCAATTGTGCATTTTTGGTAATAATTACATAGTAGGTAATTAATCTGGCGGAAATCTTGCAATTCCGAAAATGGCAGGTAAGCTCTAGTCGCAGCCCTAATGGTAAAAGTTTTCCATGCTTGCTGCTGAGCGGCAACTCATGTGTGTCAAGTGTCATTGACATTATTACACTTTTGTAATAGACTATGCAACCTAGATTCAACTTTGATTGTTAAAAATATGATAACTACTACATTAATTTCACATTATTAAATCAAGTAGTTGCGATAGCCAAGTGCCAACAAATGACAAGTACATCTCACCTGTTGCACAAGACACAAAATGGCAGCAGCAGAAAAAATACGGAATTTGCCCGTTTGCACCCGTTTTACCGTTTTATTTGCAAAGGAGATGAGTTAAAATTATAAAAAAAATCGTCGCGACCGCGCAATAAGCATGTGAAAGCATATATTAAATTTCATAATTATTGATTACGAATTGATGGAATAAAACGTGGCTACGTGACGGAATTTGCCCGTTTGCACCCGTTTTACCGTTTTATTTGCAAAGGAGATGGGCTAAAATTATTAAAAAAATCGTTGCGACTGCGCAATAAGCATGTGAAACCATGTATTAAATTTCATAATTATTGATTACGAATTGAGGGAATAAAACGTGGCTACGGGACGGAATTTGCCCGTTTGCACCCGTTTTACCGTTTTATTTGCAAAGGAGATGGGCTAAAATTATTAAAAAAATCGTCGCGACTGCGCAATAAGCATGTGAAACCATATATTAAATTTCATAATTATTGGTTACGAATTGAGGTAATAAAACGTGGCTAAAGGGAGAGCTGGTATAGGGCATGTTCAGGGCCGGGCTGGCCCACGCTGTAACCCACGCTAACGCCCACGCGCTTTTGTCCGACCGGTACGAGACAGACAGATTTGAAACGAGACATAACGAGACGAGACGAGATTTGTCTTAATTATTTAATACAAAACAAGTTTTTCGATTACGATAAGAATCATTTCAAAAACATGGGTTGAAGAATGACAAGTTAGCCCTTTATTGCTAATAGGGCCATAGACAGTTATCAGTTAAGCTTAGTTAATTGAAGATTTAGCCAGATTTGTCTGACTAACTGACACGGCAGTTAATTAGTAGTCCGACAAACACCGTAAACCTGTCGATGTATGACTGAGTATTGAGTAAAAAATGTTACTCCTAAGTCTTAACTAAGGCTTCGATGGCACTCTATGGGAACCGTACGAGTACGAGTCGAGTTCATTACGCGTTCGGAACGAGTTCAGGCGCCTATGGAGCGCAAAGGGAGTATGGACGCAGTGTCTAGATTAGTCAGCTAATTAGAAGACTGTGGAGTGGAGTCCTGGTAAGATATTCCAAATAATACTAAAGCTAGTTTTAGATTATCTCAGCCTTCAGTAAAATTTTGTGCTACAACTCCAGGAAATCTTCACAATTGCGCAGTTTCCTGAATTGTTATCAAACACTTGGGCTTGTTTAACGTTATTTAGAAAGGATACACATGGATATTTCGAGTTCTTTTTTTGAAGATCAAACTATTATATTTTTTCCAACTTAAATTTTGTTGTATTTTAAACTGTTGTTGATATTTCATTCCAAACTTTTTGTTGAAGGAGATTGCTTGCGGCAAGGTCGATGAGTCTGATTCTGTGATTGAGCTGGAGGCAAATCAAAGTCTGTCCAGTCAGCCGATGCCACCAGCTACAGCTAGTATGGCCTCCTCCAAACCATCATAGAACACAATTTAAAAAAAACGTGTTTTTCCATTTTATTTGCCTGTCAAGATTAAGTACCATATTAAACCACAACTTATATTCGTAGCTCGGCAATTAAAAAATTGCCGAGCTCCAATCAGAATAGTAAAAGGATACGTCTCAAGTTATTATATATTGCAAGATTTGATCATCACAGACACGAAAGCGAGCTAAGAAAAACGTGGTAAAAAAACGTGATTAAACGGCAGCGCAGGTGTGCACCACAATTTTTCTGCACCAATAAGCCCTGAATCGAACGCTTTGGATCTCTCCGGACATCCACCAATCAGCCGTGAACCACTCGGCTTTGTCCTCCTCCGGCCTTGCATAAAACATGCTGTGCACCACCAGACCGCAGATCGAATATGACTTCCGGGCATCGTTAAATTACGTAATTTTACGTACACCGCATTCGAGGTTAGGTTTCAGATAGCAGTTCTCTTAAAAAATTTATCGTCCTTCGACGAGTGGACGTTCGACCGAGGGCTGGTTCGACGCACGGCCTAGATATGATTGTTCAGAAGTGTTGAAGGCTACGTTCCGGAAGGCAGGAATCATGATGGTCCATTACATCCAGGGCAGTGGTCTTCCGCAGGCGACCCGATTTAACTGTCCAGTGGTTACAGTTAAGAGTGACAAGATTGGGGCAGTGAGGTGGGGGTTCGAGACCCGCAACAAGCTGTTTATGTTCTGCGATGTTAAGAATAAGCGACAGGCACACTGCTTAATAAACGCTGAAACCGCTATTATTATTAGTGAACGAGGCTGAATTTGCCTGCTCCCCGACCCTATAGCAAGTGTAGCTAACCCAGTCGCTCGTATGGAGCGGCAACAGCCGAGGACGGGTGGAGCCATGGTTGAACCAAGGGTGTTCAACCATGGGCGGAGTTGACATGGAAACACTATAGTTCAACCATGATGTTGCTGGGGTGGAGCCATGGTTGAATCGTATGTGTTCAACCAAGGGAGGAGCGACTTGACTCAACAATGAAACAACTGAAACTTCCGTTGTCCAGGGAATCCAACAATTTATTTAGAGAAAAACGTATCGAGTTTGACAGGTACTCATGGCCTGGACTTAGTTAAGTTGACGAGTTGACATGCTTTCGAAAATATTTTGCTTGTGTATCGCTGGTATCATACAAATTCGGTTACTTCTACAGGGAAAGACTTACTGGAAAAAATGTACAATTTCACACATCTTCTCACTTGCGTTTTCCAAGTTGGTTGGATTGGTGCAGATGAAGAGTTAAGACCAACACAAATTTCATCAGTCATTATAATAAACGACAAGATAGTGAGACAGATCCAAATTGTACTCGGAACTCGATAAAACCGGACTAAAAATCAGACGAGTATCACAACTAGTAATTTTTTTCCAGCACTAACAAAATCAGAAGAATAATTTGAAATTAATGCCAGTATTCTGGATGAAAATATTTAGCATTTTTCATTAATAAACAGGTTGCAGACACCATCCGAAGCAGAAATGAGAAAAAGACACATGAAAGCAAAAAGCAATCACATACACATTGAGGTTCCGGATATATCAACGAAAATGTAAGCACGCAAAATATCTGTCAAGAGATCTAAATATAACATCGGGGAACACGTTTGTCGTCGGTTGGTACAGACAGAAATTATGCTGTAGACTTTATACCTAAATAAGAAAGTCTCAACTTGTTGTGCTTAGTAAATAAAATGAACGTGACACTCGAGTTGCCAAGAGATTCGTGAAGAGGAAACCTTTTTCTCGACAGCGGCGTCAGAAAATATTCACTCGTAAGTAAGAAAGCTTGCACGCCCTCGCTTTTCTGACATATAGAAGAAACATCTGCCTTTTCAAAACTGATGCAATTACCTCAAACAAATTTAATTCTTTGCGAAGATTGATTCCCAAACAAAAAGATTTGATTAAATAATTATTACGTGAATTAAGCAAATCGAGAGCACGTGCGATAAAGCAGAAGAAAGCTAAGCATTAGAAAGACGATGTCGCGCGACTAGTGCAAGCAGTGCTGTTTTATACATTTTCAAGCAACGTATCATTGAAGTAGCATAAATCTGGGTCACATTAGCGTCACACTCAACACATATTTTCTGAAACTTAACGCTCTTGTCAACATTCATAGCATTATAACTTACCTGCAAGGGGTATTGAAGTTTATATTTACATCCCCCTAATAATAAGCGCGCTCATTAGCATCCATCAAATTTTTGGTGGTCGCTCAACTATGTTCCATGATTGTAGCTAGAGGAAAATACAAGGGAGCCTTGTGCGCCGTCTTAATATGAATGTCTATGCATTGACATTCTCATTTTAGCGTCACTCTAAGCCTGTAGAACGTTTCATTCAAATGCCCAGATTTCTGCCATTTAAATATGTTCCTTGAAAGTGTCAACATTTGCACGCTTGCCTCAGTCTCGCGACGACGTCTTTCTAATGCTGCTTTCTTCAGCAGTTCAAAAATTTGTGACGCCGTTCATCGCTGCAGAGAAGCTATCAGCAAAATCATAATTGCTCTAGGGTGATTGACTCTTTTCTTTAGCGTCCAGCGCTTCTAGACTAGGTTCTCGATCACTCGGGAGATTTTCACCGTTTCCTTCATCTCTTTGAAGTTCTCCGGCAAGTGCCGCATCATCCACGAGATTTAGACCCGGCAGTTTGTTACTGATGCGTGGTGATGCAAGGCGACCGCTTCGCGTTGGTTGTTCACGCAAGCGAGTCAAGAGTCGACGCAGGCGCAGGCGACGCAACTCCAGACTCGCCTGCACCGCCGCGCCCAGCTCACGACACAAGGCACTGTCTGGCATCTTATTCGAAGATTGATGAGAAGATGACAACAAATTTCGAGCCGGTGGTGACGCTAAATTCGATGAACGGAGTGAAGAGCTTAGGAGGCTGGAGGAATAAGGAGTCGAGCAGCTGTTGGCTGACGCAAGACTAGATGAAGGACTGTTGACTAATGAAGCAGATCGCACTAAACTAGGTGAAGAAAGATGCAGAGGAGAGCCTAGAGAATCTCGAGACATGAGTGCTCGCGTAGAACCTCTGGCGCTTAGGTCCTTGGAACTGCCACAACTTGGATTTCCTAAGCCGGAGAAAAATCCTTTTCTCGGGGTTCTAGGAGTGTCGTTGGGCGTCCCACTTGAACATGTGCCAGAAGGAGCGTAGGCTGGCAGGGCACAGGCCTGCTCCTGCGACTGCAGGTCTCCAGGGGCGTCGCGGAAGCTCGCATCTTCGCTACGAGGAGATGCGGAAGTTTCCATAAGATTTGGTGTCTTCTGCGTGTCTCTGATGAGGATAATTCTGCCGTCGGGCGTTCGAAGAATGGGAGGCTGCATTACCAAAGGCGTCTGAAAAAATGGTATTATGAAAACATACGAACGAATATCGAAGGCAAGCTATGATAAAAGGAATCCTCAAGTAAACCAACCAAACTCATCGACCAGCAGTCAGCCACTAGAGCCGAGCTGGAAAATGTGACTTGATTGGTTGAATTGAAAATTCCAACATTTCTCATCCACCAAATCAGTTATTCCTTATCAAATCACAATTTGAAGCGGAGAATACCGTATGTAATTGTTATATGCAAAAAAGGATGAAGCCACAAAGGGCTGAATTAGATTCTGGATATTCCGTGAAATGGAGCCTATGTCGGTAGTGTGATGAATATTGCAAATAGTTATCACTATTACACGCTGGCAATATTATAGATGTTTCTCTTGTAAATTAGTTGAACTATTTAATGTATTGGAAGTAGAGCAATCCTCAATATCTTAACAATCAATGCAACCTTTGCTGTGTGTTGTAATTAACAATTTACTAGCAGCTAATTTGGTTCACCTACATCCAATCATGAAAAACGACATCACCTCAGCCAAATAAATGAGGAGTGTAAATCCCTATCATTAGACGATGTTCAAGAAAACTTACACGAGTTGTGGAGTAAGATGGTCCATCGAAGTTCACACTTGTCCTAGACGAGTTAAATGACGCGTTGAGTCTCTTGAGGCTTCGCTGCTGCTTCAAGATCTGCTTCAGTAGCGCCACTTGTCGCCGAGGTCCCGTGTCTGATGAAAGACAACCTCTGCGCCTCTGAGCTTCTTTTCTCAGGAGTCCAGAACAACGATCGTTTCTTCGGCTGTGGCCCGCCCGCAGGAGTTTGCAGGACGCAGGTAAAGAAGAAGGTCTTGACGCATCTCGCCGCGATGAGGTAGATGTTGAGATCGTAGACATACATAAAAACGAAGAAGATGCAGGAGATGTACCATCATGAACTAGTGAACTAGAGGTAGATGGAAGGGCGGCATTCGAGGCTTTGCAAAGGAAAGCTTTTTTGTCAGTGGATTGACTAGAAATTTGTTCGGTGTCACATGCGGCGGTATTAAGAGCGGTGGACGTGGGCACACTCGAGTTGCTTTGCGATTCATCTTTGGGAATACTGGCTCCACCAAAGGAAAAGTTTGCAGAGCTGCTTGAAATATCTGAGTCCATACGTTTATAGTTAGTTTCAACAAGGATCGATTCGTGGGGAGCTTTCTCGCCACATGAGATACCATCAACATCTGAATCCTCAACAGCCTCGAATTGTTGCTTAGTAATAATTTTGTCGTCTATACTCATTTTGGTTTCAAGATATTGTTTGCTCGTTGAGGCAATAGGAAGGTCTTCTATGATATTTCTACGATCGAAATGATTAGAATTCCGTTTTTCGCCCTCCCCTAGATTGCCTTCAGATTCGGCGGCATTTTGAGAGAAATTTCTCTCTCCGGCATTAGAAGGTCCCGCCTGCAGGTGACCAGGCCCAAGGTCTTCTATTTCTCGGTGATGTTTGCTGCCTCCCGATGGTTGATAGTTTAATGTTCTGGGTTTCTTCTTCATGTTCTCCTCATCGAATGCTCCAAACAGATCCTCGACGCCTGCGCTTCTGTCCCTCTTGATGCTAGAGGTGCCCGACTTGTTCTCCACTAGGCTGGTATCCTTTTGAGGATTGTCTGCCAAGGAACCCTCATCGCAATGGACTTTTTTCCCATGTAGAGGATTTAAATCGTCGTCCCCACACAGAGATTCTTCCGGAGAGCTGCTGTCGCGCAAGCCCAGCAGCGAGGCGCTGGCCGCCTCCAAATCCAAAACCTCAGCTCGCACGCTGCAGTTTACGATCTAGGAAATGATATCGTCTTAAATTTCAAGCACATACAATTATACACTATGTTTCAAGACTGGCACTTTTAATCAATGACGAAATGAGGGGCAAACAAGAGTTTTTTTAATATTTTCTTCATTGTACTTCAATACTTGTTTGACATTTGTCAATTATACCAAATTTAGGCGCAAAATTGGAAAACGTGGCAATACGAAAACGTGGAAAAAATGATGATCAATTAGTTTTCTCGTTGGTTGCTTATAATTTCATTATTCTACACTAACCCGTTTTTGCTCGCGAATCTGGTGCATAGAGGATTATCCTTGAACCCATGAATATCAGAACTTGGAATGCACAAGCAAAGGCATGAACATAAATTTTTTCATACTAAATAAAAAGACCGAAAAATATTAATGTATTTAGTTTCGGTACTTAGAATAGAATTGAAGCTTTATGAACCGCGTTTCTTGCACCAAGGATGTAAATGAGAATGAGGGTATTATGGTTGACGGCAGGCTATATTGAGCCCAGCAGAACAAGCAGGTGCGTTTGTTGTAATGTTACCTCGTTGATGCGCGCGTTGTGATGCGTGAAGCGGACGCAGTGTTCGGTCAGCAGCCGCGACTGCTCAGAGATGGTGCGTTCCTGATCCCGCAGCTTCCTGCTCACCTCCACAACCTGCACACGTCAGAGCAATGTACCTCCACCACCTGGACACGTCAGAGCAGTGTACCTCCACCACCTGCACACGTCAGAGCAATGTACCTCCACCACCTGCACACGTCAGAGCAATGTACCAACAGGCGCCATCTGCCTACTGTACAGATTGTACATGCATAACGCATCGTGTTAGAGCAGGGGAATGGTACAGTACTGAAACTTCTGTGATTTAAGTAGAACAGCGGAAATTTGTCGTCCTGAATGGGAGTTGAGAAACATCATAAATAAGGTACTTGTAAACGTTGACCACGCTACATGGTACAGTTTCAGTGTTAGCAGTCTGACTGTGGTTGGTTCAACAAGTTATTAGGAAGCTTGAGTATAACCAGTAACTACAAGGTAAGAATTGTATCACTGCGGAAAGAGAAACTAATAATATAACTAACTTGAAGACAAGTAGAATTTTAGTAGATGGTAATTACTTTGGTCTGGAGGAGCGAGAGGGAGCGTTCGAGTTTGTTCTTTTTGGCCTTGGTCTCCTTAAGAGCTGCCACGAGGGCCTTCAGGGTCTCGGCCGGCACCGGCACCAGCATCATGGAGCCGCTGTTGAACCCTGCAGGCTCTGCATCTGAGGGACATTCCATTCAATGCTATCATTTCAATTGTTTACATAAGCACATATAGACAGTTATTTCAACCTTATCAAACTCTCAAATATAAATTTGAAACTATGTTAGAGGCGCTGTCAGCTAAAACGGAAAACTTAGGTCGATGTTGAGCGCTTATGATGAATTTACCACTTGTGTTTCCTAGTGCATTTGAAATTTGGGCAATAGTCAAAGCTGCCTTCTGAATTCTGGGGAAGCCAGGGCATATGGTTTTATAGGATGGGTTAGAGTGCGACTATGCAGATTAATACAAATACAAGTGCTTCTCAACGGTAAGCGGCAGTCGGTTAGGTGCTTGTTAAGCCCTGTTGTGTTTTTGTTATAATTTGAAAAAAATTCTCATTGAAAAATGAAAGTGGTTTGTAAGCGGTAGACAAGATCTGGGTTTTTGATGTATCATATGCAAGTGGTGTTGATGTTGCGTGGTGTGCGCAAACTCACGTGGCTACTAGACAACCTAACCTGACGAACGTAATAATTTTTAATTTTTTGTACTTGGGAATTCAAAATCCGACTTTTGACTATAAATCTTGATGTCTACGGAAATAGCTCCCCTGCACTAAGTTTTACGCTCCCTGTTCAATTATCACTAAGCACATGCAAACAGTATGAAAGGTTCAACAAAGGCAAAATAATAAAAGCTTGTTTAAATTAATGGCAAATAAAATTCATCAAACACGTTGGTTGCAGTCAGAGCAGCAATAACATATTTAAATGGGCGGAAGTATGATAATCAATAATTAAAAGCTAATGTCCTACTAAATTCAATCTATATTCATAACTACGGTATTTCTCACCATCTTCATACGTTCAGTTATACCAACTCTATTTATCATCAAGCAAATGCAACATTTTCATTCTAATGACGTCCACATTAAATAGAGACAGGAAGATGTGTTGCGAAATAATCTCCAAGGATAGGCATTTAAATAAGCAAATCTTACAAGCACTTGACTAGCCGCCGCCATTACTGGCCAGCTTTTTTCCAGCAAATATTTGTCCTAGATTGTAATATTCTTAGTTTCAGATGGACCACAATTTAGTCAATTAAACAGTATACCTATATAATAGTAATAGAATTAGAATCTACAAAAAAGGTACTTGACCATGACACTCCGCATGGAATCTAATCATAATCGATGAAGTGATGAGATCTTAAATATATAATGGCTACTATGAACAGATTTGACAATTAAAAAACCCACTCACTGCGGCTCGGAGCAGTCAGAATGTCAAAGGCAGACCGCATCTCCAGATCCAGGAGGTTGTCCGTGAACGAGAAGTATGATCCACCGCCCGTGATGTAAGAGCTGAGACTGGACCTGTCTACACCGTCCTGACTGCTACCAGCCTCCCCACACGGAGAACTGCTTGCATGTCCGCTACGGTGAGAGCTTTGGGCATCAGGAACCACAGAAGAGGAGCATGCTGAGAGTTGCTTCTGAGAAGATAAAGTCTTCTGCAAGTTTGGCACAATCTTCTCCTCGAAATAGTCCATGGCCATGCTCGAGATATCGCGCAATTCGGTCAGGATCTCGTGTGGGATGGGACTCCCTTGAGTTCCATTCACCAGGTTGAGTACACGAAACAGCTCGTCTATTACCTTGGGCAGAAATAAATAATGAAAAACAATTCAAGATCTGTCACAAACATGCAGTAGATATAATTTTTTATGTGATCTATCAGACAATTTTTGTCAACAAAACCACAGCAACCGATAATTCAACCTCTTATTAGTTCTAAAATTAAAATGACGGACGATAAAAGTTTTAACAGAATTGTAATGAACTAACTTTGCCAGGGATGAAGCAGCAGACATTGTACTGGACGTATTTACAGTACGTCATCTTGAGGAGGGAGAGACGCGTTTCAATGGCATTCAGGATGTTGTTGTGGTGAGCCAGTGGGTGATTCGAACGCTTAGATTCCCGACGCGGCAACTGGCTCTTGACCTGCAACAGTTAGCAAAAGATGCATTCTTAATTTTGTGAAAACCAAGGAGGAAACCATTGTATATAGATTTTGATCATGGTTAAAATACCGTACATTAAAGTCAGGGTGAAAAGTAACAACATTATATTACAATTCTTGAGGCTTGAAACACCTGACTGCAAATCTGTGAAACCCCTGATCGCTTCTACAAACAAATTGACAAATAAGTAATCTTTGAATGGCAAGAAAGTAACTTCAGTGGTTAACTTGGCAAAACAAGGCAAGTTTATTTATACACACACCCGTTTTGAAAGAAAAGTTTTACAATTCTCAAAACCAGAATGCACCGAAATGACATGCTCTTCATCAACATAATCTACTTGTATGTATGTGACAAAGCAATTCATGACAAATTTTAACATGTGTCCCAAGAGCAGCAATATATACATCACTTTTCATGAATAGCAAGAAATAAGAACATCTCCATAACAAAGCCTCACACTAATGAGTATTCCATGAATGCATTTCAAAAGTAAAAGCAAGTAGTTGACACTCATAGAAATTTTAAACAATCAATTACCATGAATTATTACGTCAATCAAGCACTAACCTCCTTGAAGCATTTTGCATGGAAGTGTACAGCTTGGGCAAAGCCTCTGTTGAGAAGATTTTGGCAGACTGCATTAAATCGTTGGCACACCTGCAAATAGAATAATCATTATTTCTAAAATAATCTTTACTGCCATCCAGAACAAAAAAAATAATAACAGTACAAATACAAAATAGCCATGATAATCAGTATTACAAACATAATTATATCTAAAAATTTTTGCAACTATATTCATGCCAAGATTTCATTCAATTTTATTTCACATCTTCAGGTTATAAAGCCAAGGGAGCAATTGCACAAACATAAGGATTGAGATAATTTGATTGCAATAATTGTTTATTAACTGAGAATTCAAAAGCAAAGTCACTGCCAAAAAAATTCACCATACGTTCCATGAAAATGTTTTTGAAGACCAGCTCAAAAACCAGTGCAAGTATGGAGATTTTCTTTTATTTACAAGTGGCTTCTGCCACTTTTCCAGTTTGGCACATAATTCCTAATATTAGGCCATAGTTTCCAAATAAATTGCTGTTAAAAAGTAGAGTTTCATGGGTTATTATAAAAGAGTATACTTTTACAGCAATTGCAGGCAAAAATCTATTCCTTTTTTCTTAATTTTTGCTGAAAAAATTAGGCCATGGCAACATAATGACTGTAAATACAGGCCACACCACTGACAACAGGCCTATTCTTCAGCACTAAAAATACTATGTTATAATAAGTTATGTTATACTCTAACGGGTGATATTTTACAGGGACTGGAGAATGAAAAATTACACATTCCTATCTCTCCTATGAGGCTATGACTGCCAGTGAGTAGCACTGGTATCCAAGTGTGGAAAACATCTACATTTGCTTTAGGGCCACAATCTAGCAAGGGAAATATCTATTATCTGAACTGCAACTGGATATTTCAGGCCATGGTTTTAAGAATATGCAAGCCATGATTCCATTTCTTTGAGCCATGAATTCCATATCTTGGCTCATTGGTCATATTACAGGCATGGAATATATCTACTTGGCAAGCTGCAACTGAATTTTTCAAGCAGTGGTTTTATGGATTTGCCAGCAGTGATTCCATTTCTTTGAGCCTTGATTCCATTTCTTCAAGCTGTGAATTCTATATCTTGGCCATGAATAGCCATTTACAAGCCTTGAACTTATTTACATAGTCCATTCACATGTTACCCAAAATCTCTAATTTTACCCTAAAACAGTTGAACAGCAAACCGAATATTTTTTTTTTTACTTAAGTGGTGAATGAACACATGAGAATGCAGTCTGACAGCTCTGACATGACCACAGCTATGCAATTTTCAAGGAGACGTTTGGTGTTGACTTATTGTTATTACATTCTGCAGGATATTTAGCCAGGAACATTGAAGTAATGCGGATTGCGCCATCATTGCGGAAGTTGAAAATTTTATGAAATGACATGTTTGAAAAGTGCACGCTGCAATTTTTCCAATCAAACAAAAATACATATTAGAGCCACAAGATTTCACACCTACTGAAATTCTATGATATTAGAGCTGCAATATTTCAGAAAAAATAGGTCTTTTCCAGCCCTGGCCATAAAGAGCCATAAATGAGCCACGAACTTACAAGGGCATCCAGAAAGTAGGACCCATTTGGGAATTGAACAAAAGGAAGTGAATATCAACAAATGTAAACATGTTTATTGAAAAGAACATGTATTACCTACACTACTTCTCTACATAATCTCCAGACAAATTTAAGCATTTGTTGTATCTTGTCATGAGGTTTTGTATACCAGTGTCATATAGTAACTCTGCCGCCAGTGTTTGAGCTACGCAGTCACGTGTCCTTTCAGTTCTTCGCCATTTTGAAACTTTGTCCCTGCCACAAAGTCCTTGAGTTTTGGTAGTACCCATTTGGGAATTGAACAAAAGGAAGTAAATATTAACAAATGTAAACATGTTTATTGAAATGAACATGTACTACACTACTTCTCTACATAATCTCCGGACAAATTTAAGCATTTGTTGTACGGTATCGTGTCATGAGTTTTTGTATACCAGTGTCCTATACCTCTGCTGCCAGTGTATCGAGATACGCAGTCATGCGTTCTTTCAGTATTTTTTGGTTTGGAAGCTTTGTCCCTGCCACAAAGTCCTTGAGTTTTGTAAATAGATGAAAATCTGAAGGAGCCAAGTCTGGACAGCAAGGTAGATGGTCGAAAATTTCCCACTCAAATTTTTTGGAGAAGTTGTTGTGTTATCCAAGCTGTATGCAGCCTGGCATTATTGTGCAAGAGAATGATGCCAGGAGACAACAGACCTTGCTGTTGATTGAATTGCTTGCCGTAATTTTTTTAATGTTGCACAATATGCATTGGCATTGATTGTGTCTCCACGGGTCATGAAATCGATGAGCAGTACACCTTGCCAATCCCAGAAAACAGTAGCCATGAGTTTCCAGGTAGACAGTATCATATTGAATTTTTTTGGTTTGTTTGGTGGATGCAGATGATGCCACTTCATTGACTGTCATTTACTTGTTGGGGATGCAACGATGCATACAAAACCCAAGTTTCATCACCAGTGACTATGCGAGTCAAGAGTTTCCTTCAACAGAATAACATTCCAAAAAGTCAGTGCTGCAGCCATATGCTTGATTTTGTATAGGTACATCAGTAAGCATGCAAGGGACCCACCTCGCACAAATTTTTGCATCATGCAGAATTGCAGATGATTTTTCACAATTTCATGAATAATTGTTTGAGAAACATTACGGAAATGTTCAACCTCTTCATCAACCATCACTTGCCGATCATTCCTCACAACTTTGTTGACTGAGTTCATCAGTGTCTGTAATGTCACCACTGTGCAGAAAGTGGGTGAATATCGCAAGATCTTTGGCGACGCATTGGCAGCAAAATTTACGCCTTCTGAAGATCTTGCCAAGACATTTGGCAAGATCTTCATGCTATGCAATCTTCAACTTAGTGTTTTGGGTTAACTTGTTATCATTACATTCTGCAGGATATTTTGGTGGGAGCACTGAAGTACTGCAGATTGCATCATTGCAGAAGTTGAAAATTCTATGGAATGACATGTTTGAAAAGTGATTAAACCATAATATTTACAATAAAACAAAAATACATGACATTAGAGCTGCGAGATTTCATACCTACTGAAAATATATGATATTAGAGCTACAATATTAAAAAAAAAAGGTGTGACTTTTCCTGAAGTCCTTGCTGCCAGATCAATTAGGGTAAACGCAGTATATTCCGACACTTTAAGGAAGTAGCAAATAATGAATGGCTATAAAAAATACACTGTACGCACAACTCGAGTTCTGTTTGCTTTACGTCACTCTCAAAGCACCACACTACGCGCCAGCAACAATGACACGTCACAAAATGTTGCCATATTTATTTTAAGCCTTTAGAATGCAAACCTACCAAATCCATATATTCCAACACTGTGTGTGACTAAAGTCGGCATTTTGTAAGATTAATTCCGGCCGCGCTCCAAACTCTACTAATTCGTAATGCCTCTTGTGTTCAACTTCCGCTCGCTTTGTGAGCTGTATTGGAATACAACACAGCTTGGAATTAGAAGCTTAGAACACTATTGAATATGGAACACTACTTAATTAGGCTTTTAATTAAGAGCTATTAAGCTTTTAATTAAAAAAATTTAAATTTTTGCACATGGCTTGGAACGAGCTGTAAGTGTCTAATTCCAAGCTGTGTCAGAACTAGTTTTTATGTGTCTAAAACCACCTTTTAACTTAATCATCTATTAATTTTTTTACCACTTGAAATTAGCAAATACAAGTATACTTAAAGGATTCCTAATATATTCACAGACGTATTTTAAAGTCTCAAACCATAATATTCTTTCTACACAAACAGTTTATCACTATTTGGTTGGGCATGGTCAACTATCAACTTTGACACCTTTTTCGATGTTCTAACTGGGTGACGAGCACTGTCTCTTTGGATCTCAACATTTTCCCACTAGACAGCCCAGACCTAGTGTTTTGGCAATAGTATGGCGCGCGCAAAAGTATGATGTCACTATTTCAACCATCAACGAATGCATGGAACTAAGAAAAAGCTTAAAGTTAATATAAAGGAAAAAAGTCAAGAAGTGTTGGAATTACCCACGATGTCGGAATATACCGCGTTTACCCTACCTGGTATTCAATTGTTAACAAAAGTGTACAATTTGGCTGCAAGATTCCAAATGTATTAAAATCTTCTCATGTTGTACTTGTAGCCATAAAAAATTTCAGGGTATTACTTTAGGTTAGCTTAGGTGCATCCAAAAAAGGGTGTTTTTTTAATTATATATTTTTTTGTGGTGTACATTAAGAATCTGAAATCGATTTTTGGTGGTCAGCATCTGAAATTTTCAATGGAACCTGTTCCTAACTGGACCTAACCTGCAAGGTTTTTGTTGATCGGCTAGGTTTTTTCTATGTTTAGAGTCCGTCCAGCTGGAAAAACCTAGCCAATTATCCGGTATCAATTCACTTGACCTGATAGAGATTGAGGACGAGTCAACACCTGATAGACAAGTGATAGATCACATGATCAAGACGGCAGTAGTGGGCGGAAACGAACGTTATAAAAGGTCTAGCAACCTTAAGCAAAGCCCTCAGTAGCTGATGAGCACTCCGCGATGTAGCATGTAGCTAGAGTTCTCCGACCTTACGGTCAATGCCGTAGCTTATACCTCTGTATCGTAACTCTGTATAAGCACCCCGTAGACAAGATACGTTATCTGGACTTATGTGTCTTACTTATCCCTCACTACCTTAGTCAACGAAACCCGATCCTCAGGTAGAGCTTAATATAATGAGTTCAATGTCTTGAGCGCAACCTCGGACACAATCAACGAAAACCTGTTAGAAATTTCCACATTCCTTAGGATCTAAATTTGTTCTTTTTCTCCATGCCTATCGTTAGGCTTGGGTTTGTAAATAGAAGTAGTTGGCTGTAAGACTTGGTGGTGAAAACATCACATTAATGTTGCTCCGTTAGGAGTGTATAAAGCCATTCCTTCCTACTTGCTATTTATTATTTTGAGTGATCACTCTTTGTTTTTCATTTT